GGGTACATTATGTATGCTCCAATAAAAGATACAATGTTGAATCAGGCGTGATGCTCACAGTTTATTGCAATACCAGCTTTCACACAGTTTGATCCAGGGTTCTAAAACCAGCTTTTATAAGATACAAGCTAACTGTCTACATTTCTAGAGCAAATAGTTTAAACAGAAGAGTGTTAAAACTTCATTCTAGAATCCAAAGCTTGCTATAAATTTGTGCCAACCTTATTCTAAAGGCTTATACAGTTACACAGAAGTTATTCAGTACTGTCTTCCTTTTCTCAGTCCCGCTCATGCTAACACCACAGCGCTGGGTTTATGAATCGTTCTCCAATTTAGTGTCTGCGTCCTACAATATACTTGGGTGCCTTTTCTTACATTACCCAGCTGGGTACATTGTAGAAGGTGGGTAATCAGTTAAGTACCAATTGAACTGACTGACTTAGCTCAAGCTGCTTTGTACTTTTAGAACATCTGTTTAGGCCTTTGCAAAACTATTTATAATAGTACCTTTGTTTAAAAACAAGATTTTACAATGGAAACAAAACTGACATCCTTTGCTTTGGTAAGTGCTGTTTTTTTAATGTTAGCTCATCTGTTGAGTGTTTTTAACAACCACTTGAGTACATTATTTGTAATATCTCACCCTATCTTTTCCAAGATCAAGATTAGATTTTTTTTTTAAAGATTATTTTTAGGGAGGGGAAGAGGGAGAAAAAATCAATATGTGGTTTCCTCTCATGCGCCCCCTACTGGGGACCTGGCCCACAACCCAGGCATGTGTGCTGAACTGGTAATGGAATCCATGACCCTTTGGTTCACAGGCTGGCACTGAAGCCACTGAACCACACCAGGTGGGACTAATATTTTACATTTTAACCTATGTTTGCTACATCATTGTTTTTGTTTTTAAGTAGATGCTATTAGGATAGTTGTTTTGATTTGAACTACACAGAGAATGGGTTTCAGAGAGGTTAAATGTATCCAGATTTTCTGAGGCCATATTGAACTCATCTTACCATAATGAAAAATTTCATTTCTGTCCTTCACAGTTTGTTTTCTCCTTCACACATTAGATGTAGGGAAGTTAATGACATGGGCTTCTCTTTCCTCGTGAAGTCTTAATTTCTGAAGGGTAGTTATGAAGGATTTTTCTGTTTTCTAACTTGAGTGGGAAATGAGCTGAATAAGAAAAATCTCTGGCATTCATAAGAGCCTTCAAGGAATATCTTGTTTCTCATACACTTGAAATTGCTTTTTCACACTGTTATTTGGTTTAATTCACATAGTTACTGAAAATCTAATGAGGAAGGGGTTTGAACCAGTGAGCTGTTAGACATAAAGTGATCACAAATCTCTTCATAATAAAGCAGCTTTGAATCTTTTTAAAAGCTAAGCTTGAACTGGGTTTCAGAAACAGGAAAAATAGGGAACTGGGTGGTTTTTTTTTTGGCACCAGAGATTTACCCAGTTCTGTCATCTTGCTCTTAAGATTCATTTAGTTCACTTAAGAGTTAAAAGTCACTCAGTACTTTGAATTCTTCTACCTTTATTTCATAAAGCTAAATACATGTTTGTAAACATTATTTGTTACTGTAGGCCACACCAAGTGGATAGAAAGCCTATTGTTCATCTCTAGGCCCCTTTCCAGGGTTTGTATTCAGTTTCATACTGTTGCCTGCCATAAAAAAGAAAAACAAAAAAAAACGTTTGCCACTACGTGCCTGTGGAGAATGTGAGTTAGGGAACTTTGGCAGTTTGCAGACAGTTGGTGCCATTAGTAACTACTAAATAAAGCTGATTTCTGAAGGCAGTGTGGCTGTCCAGTAGCTTGTACAACAAGAAAATCTGGTTCGATCAGGGCTCTGAAGTTTATTTTCTGGAGAAAAGTTAGCCAGTACAAAAGCTGTCCAAAAGTTAGGATTAGCTCAGAAAACTTAAAGGTAAGAGGGACTTAAAAATAACCTAGTCCACCCCTGCCTTTTGACATTCTTATATATTTTAAAGATTTTATTTATTTTTAGCAAGAGGGAAAGGGAGGGAGAAAGAGAGAGAAAGACATTGATTTTTGGTTGTCTTCCATTCACCCCCAGCTGGGGACCGAGCCTGCAACCCAGACATGTGCCCTGGCCAGGAATCGAACCAGTGACACTTACGGTTCACCGGCCAGTGCCCAATCCACTGAGCCACATCAGCTAGGGCTTTCTCATTAGGTTCAGGAGAAAGTTGATTTGACAACTAACACTTGGCATCTAACATCTAACACTTGCCTAATCATTTTAATTCAAGACTATGGTCAAGGCTTTAATAGACAATAAATTTTAGTAACTTGTTTTCTTTGAACTTAGTAGCACAGTACTCTTCTATGGCAAGGGAATTTCTATTGGTGGTAAGGATATAAAGTTTCTTCTCCAAGTTGTTTAATTGCTTGCATATGCATAGGATACCTCTGAAAAGAAGTACAAAAAGACGGAGATATCTGCTGTTCCAAGAACTTCTGGGCAGCTAGGGTAACTGGGATACGAGGGAAAATTTTAACCTTATTATACTTATTTGCATAAAATTTTAACTTTGTAGGACTTCCGCCAAGATGGAGGCGTAGGTGGAAGCACTGCTCCTTGCACAACCAAGTTTAAAAACAACAAAGTTTTAGCAACAAAAACGCAGCCAAAGCACAGAAAATTGAACTATACGGAAGTCTGACAACAACGCAGAGCCAGCAGCAGAGTGGGGTTGGGCAGGAAAGATCCACCAGATTGACCTGGGCACAAGACCAAGGCACGCAGGCAGCTGTGGGTGGATCCCAGGTGTGCAGTAGTAGCGGGCAGACCCATTGAGGACTGACTGGGTCACAAATTCACGCGAAGGTAAACCGGTGAAGGAGCTAGCAGTAAGCCTGACCGCCCAGGCCCCACCAGCGGGAAGCGGCAAAAGGGACCTCCATGGTCCCTCTCTGACCCCGCCCCTACATGCAGCATCACAAGCCAGCAACCTGAGTGGCCCCACCCTGGTGAACACTTAGGGCTCCACTCCTCATACATAACAGGTGCAAACTGACCAAAACATTATAGCTCAAGAACAGCTCAAAGCCCCAGAGCAACCAAGAAATTCTAGGTGACCAATAATTCTAAGAGACCAAGAAATACCCAACCTTTCAGACTGCACACTTCAAAACACTGGTGATCAGGATGCTCACAGAACTGGTTGATTTTAGTCACAAATTAGAGGAATATATGAAGGCTAAACTAATTGAAATGAAGGGAAATGCACAGGAAACCAATAGTGAGGGAAAGGAAACTGGGACTCAGATCAAGGGAGTGGACCAGAAGGAAGAAAAAAAATGACCAAACAGAAAAGAATGAAGAAACAAGAATTCAAAAAAATGAGAGGCTTAGGAACCTCCAGGACATCTTTAAACGTTCCAACATCCGAATTATAGGGGTACCAGAAGGGGAAGAGGAACAGCCAACAAGTGGAACACTTATTTGAACAAATAATAAAGGAGAACTTCCCCAATCTGGCAAAGGAAATAGACTCCCAGGAAATCCAGGAAGCTCAGAGAGTCCCAAAGAAGCTGGACCCAAGAAGGAACACACCAAGGCACATCATCATTACATTAGCCAAGATTCAAATGAAGGAGAGAATCCTAGAAGCAGCAAGAGATAAGGGGACAGTCTCCTACAAAGGAGTTCCCATCAGACTGTCAGCGAATTTCTCAAAAGAGACCTTACAGGCAAGAAGGGGCTGGAAAGAAGTATTCCAAGTCATGAAATCCAAAGACCCACAACCAAGACTGCTTTATCCAGCAAAGCTTTCATTTAGAATGGAAGGGCAGATAAAGTACTTCTCAGATAGGTTCAAGTTCAAGGAGTTCATCATTACCAAGCCCTTATTATATGAAATGTTAAACGGACTTATCTAAGAAAAAGAAGATAAAAAAGATGGACAGTGAAAGCACAGCAAACTCAGTTATTAACAACCACACCTAAAACAAAAGCAAACTAAGAGGATAGCTAGATCAAGAGTGGAACCACAGAAATGGAGATCACGTGGAGGGTTAGCAACAGGGGAGTGGGTGGAGGAGAAGGGGGAGAGAAGGTACAGAGAATAAATAGCATAGACAGTAGGTAGAAAATAGATGGGAGGAGAGTAACAATAATATGGGAAATACAGAATCTAAAGAACTTGAGGCACGTGGTCATAAACTAAAGGGGGAAATGGTGGGGGAGGGGTGTGCAGGGTGGAGGGGAACGAAGGGGGAAAATAGAATAACTATAATGGCATAATCAATAAAATACATATTTTTTAACATTTAACTTTGTGACCTAAAATGGAGACAAACTTGATTAATGAGAAATTTACTAAGTAAATAGTAGTTCGGATGATAGGGAGAGTATGGCAAAAACCATGAGGTCTTATTAGAATGAATGAAGCAAGAGAAGAAACGACCCAATTTCTAGGAGAACAGAGGACTGGGCAGTCCTAACACTGCCCAGCAGCCTCAGTGAGGTTAGAAGCCAGCTTCTAGATAGATTTGCGCATGCGCATAGGCGGCCAGGAATCATCACGCAAGAACCGTACTGCCCCGCCCCTTTCCTCACCTTGCTGGCAAATCCTGAGGCGCTGAGACCTGGGTCGTCTAGGCTTCCAGAGCTAGTGGTCTAGGAGGCCGGGAACCTGCGGGAGGCCGGGAACCTGCGGGAGGCCGAGGCCCGCTCTAAGGAGTACAGCCCTTACGAGTGTCTCAGGGGAGACACCCATCCGCGGGGGCGAAAGCTGCGCAGAAGATGGAGGCGGAGAAGCCACGGCCGGTGCTGCGCTCGGTGAATTCTCGCGAGCCGTCCCAGGTCATCTTCTGCAACCACAGCCCGCGCGTCGTGCTTCCTTTGTGGCTGAATTTCGACGGCGAGCCTCTTCCCTACCCCACACTGCCGCCGGGCACCGGCCGTCGCCTCTGCAGCTACCGAGGTAGGGTCGCCCTTTCACTGCCCGACCGCGCAGCCCTCTTTGTCCCGCTGCTTGAGCGCCTGAGCGCCACTGCTGAGCCGTCCCCAGCGCGCTGCCCAGCGCTCTAGGCCTGATAGCAACGGCAACGGTGGCACCTACTCATCTAATCCCCTCCACCATCCGAGGGGGCAGGTGCTGTTGTCATTATTGTTGCCATTCACGCGAACGAAACTGAGGCCCCAGAGAGGTAGTGACATATCCAAGGTGAAGCTACTAGTAAATGGCAGAACACTCTTCCTTGTGAGACTGATTAATTTGAATTTGATGGTGACTCTTTCCCAACCCCCTTCGACTTGTAGTTATAAAGGAAGCTTTCCATCCCTAATGCCCATATGTTCGGCTGTGACTGGAAGAATCTCACATTCTTCCATGACCCCAGTGGGCCAGGCCCATGTAGGGGCTCTGCCTGCATGGAGAACACAGTCTAGTGGAGACACAGATGAATACATCAAAAGAGGTGAGACAAGCCAATGTCAAAATTGCTGCGGAGCACAGCGGAGTATTGGCTGCTGGAGCTTGGAGCCTGCATCTATCTGCTTAGTGAAGGGGAGGTGAGGATAGGGGTTGTGGTGGTGAGTGTACACGTGTGGTTTCAAATAGCTCTGGGAGAGCTTCTCAGAGAAGAAAGGGAGCCCTGCAGGATGAGTGGGAGCTAACCAACCACGAGAGCAGTTCTAGGCAAGAGGGAAGGGCATGGGCTAAAGGAGGAGTGGCTATGGAGTGGTGGGGGAGGAAGCCCTAAAGGTGATTTTACATGTAGGGAAATGGGGGCTGTTGGAAGATTTTTAGCAGGGACATGACATTGCCAGGTTTACATTCTGCAAAGCTCACTCAGGTTGCAGGGTGGTTTGGCGAGAAAGACTGGTGTTGAGGAACCAGTTAGGAAGCTGTTGTAATAACCTATAACTAGGCCTTATTGCCTAAAGAGGTAGAATCTTCCCATGGTTTTCAAGAAGAAAAGTAGTCGTAGTGGGGCTTAATTTTCACAACTATAGAAGCAGACTCAAAGATACAGAGAGAACAAGCTTACGGTTGCCAGAAAGGAGGTGAGTTGGCGGGTACAAAAGCTTGAAGGGATGAGAAAGTACAAAGTGGCAGGTACAAAATATTCCCAGGGATGTAAAGTACAGCACAGGGGATATAGTCAATAATATGGTGATAACTGTGTGTGGTGCTGGTGGCTCTCAAATGTATGGGGGGGTATCACGTTTAAATTATATAAATGTCTAACCACTATGCTCTTACACTGAAAGTATTATAAAATAATACTGAATGTCAACTGGAATTGAAATATAAAATGTTTTTTAAATGAATAAACATTTCACAACCTCTTTGAGAGGAGCCTGATGGATCTTTTCTCCTCGAGGGTGGTATACTCAATACCACTTAACTTTTTACACCAAACCTCCCTAGTATTTAATGAGGAAGAACACAGTTCTTCCAGGGATCAACATTTCCGTAGTCTTCTGATTTATCCAGAGTGTTGTGTAAGTTTTGTATTATTCAGAATTTATCTGTGCCTGATTTAATAAAAAAAATTTTTTTAAATATTACCATGTGAATGTATGTAACATCACTGAATTATACACTTAAAATGGTGTAAACAGTCAGTTTCATGTTATGTACATTTTGCCACAATACAAAAATTGCCAGGTTACATTTCTTAAATTAAAAAAAATATATTTTATTGATTATGCCATTACAGATGTCCTATTCCTTCCCCTTCATTCCCCTCCACCCTGCACACCCCTCCCCCACATTCCCCTCCTTTAGTTTATGTCCACGTCTCAAGTTCTTTAGATTCTATATTTCCCATATTATTCTTGCCCTCCCCCTATCTATTTTCTACCTACCGTCTATGCTTTTTATTTTGTGTGCCTTCTCCCCCTCTTCTCCCCCTCCCACTCCCCTGTTGCTAACCCTCCACATGATTTCCATTTCTATGGTTCCACTCTTGATCTAGCTGTCCTCTTAGTTTGCTTTTGTTTTAGGTGTGGTTGTTAATAACTGAGTTTGCTGTGCTTTCACTGTCCATCTTTTTTATCTTCTTTTTCTTAGACAAGTCCCTTTAACATTTCATATAATAAGGGCTTGGTGATGATGAACTCCATGAACTTGACCTTATCTGAGAAGTGCTTTATCTGCCCTTCCATTCTAAATGAAAGCTTTGCTGGATAAAGCAGTCTTGGTTGTAGGTCTTTGGATTTCATGACTTGGAATACTTCTTTCCAGCCCCTTCTTGCCTGTAAGGTCTCTTTTGAGAAATTCGCTGACAGTCTGATGGGAACTCCTTTGTAGGTGATTGTCCCCTCTTCTCTTGCTGCTTCTAGGATTCTCTCCATTTGAATCTTGGCTAATGTAATGATGATGTGCCTTGGTGTGTTCCTTCTTGGGTCCAACTTCTTTGGGACTCTCTGAGCTTCCTGGATTTCCTGGGAGTCTATTTCTTTTGCCAGATTGGGGAAATTCTCCTTTATTATTTGTTCAAATAAGGTTTCCACTTGTTGGCTGTTCCTTTTCCCGTTCTGGTACCCCTATAATTCGGATGTTGGAACGTTTAAAGATGTCCTGGAGGTTCCTAAGCCTCTCCTCATTTTTTTGAATTCTTGTTTCTTCATTCTTTTCTGTTTGGTCATTTTTTTCTTCCTTCTGGTCCACTCCCTTGATCTGAGTCCCAGTTTCCTTTCCCTCACTATTGGTTTCCTGTGTATTTCCCTTCATTTCAATTAGTTTAGCCTTCATATATTCCTCTAATTTGTGAGTAAAATCAACCAGTTCTGTGAGCATCCTGATCACCAGTGTTTTGAAGTGTGCATCTGAAAGGTTGGGTATTTCTTGGTCTCTTAGAATTATTGGTCACCTAGAATTTCTTGGTTGCTCTGGGGCTTTGAGCTGTTCTTGAGCTATAATGTTTTGGTCAGTTTGCACCTGTTACGTATGAGGAGTGGAGCCTTAAGTGTTCACCAGGGTGGGGCCACTCAGGTTGCTGGGTTGTGATGCTGTATGTGGGGGTGGTATCAGAGAGGGGCAGTGGCGTTTTTTTCGCTCTCTGTAAGATTTCTGTCTCCTCCACCACTTCCTACAAGCAAATTGGGCCCTTCTGGTGCTGTTTCCCGGGTATGTGAGCTTGTGTACCTTCCAGGACCCTGTGGGTCTCTCCAACAAACTCTGCTGGCACCTCGACCCCACAAGTCTTTCCAGTTGGTGCTTTCAGGCTCTAATTCCCATTGCTGGGCTCTAGCCTGAGCGGTCTGTCTCACTGTTCACTCCTTCACTTGGTTTATCTGCGCTCAAATGTGTGACCGCAGTCAGCCAGCTGCCCTGCACCCTCACTGGGTCCGCCAGATGCCGTTTGCCCTCCTGGGTCGGTCCACTGATTTTCTCTGCTTGATGACACTCCACCACTGACTCTTCCTCTCTTACCGGTCTGGGTGAATGGTTTGTTGTTGTTGGACTTTAGTACAGTTCAATTTTCTGTGTTTTGGCTGCGTTTTTGTTACTAAAATTTTGTTGTCTTTAAACTTGGTTGTGCGAGGAGACATAGTGTTTCCACCTATGCCTCCATCTTGGCCGGAAGTCACATTTCTTAAAATTTGCAATCAGAACTTCAAATAAGTTTATGCCCCAGGAACACCTGCTATATTTATTCTGGGACACCTCCGCCTCCTTAAACAGCATTGTCGCTTGGGGGTTTGCCTTCCATCCTTCTCTCTGTTGCATATGATGCATTTGTTTCTTACATTCAGGTTAAATCACATAATGTGCAGATCTTAGGGTTTGATGCGTTTTGACAAATGTAAACACCTAATTAAAGTTACAGATTAGAACATTTCCATCACCCCAGAGAGTCCCGTCCTCCCTCTTTCTACCCGTGCCTTTCCAGAGGCAACCAGTCTTCTGAGTTCTTACTCCATAGATTAGTTTCATCTGTTCCTGCAGGATGAACCCTCTCTGTCTTGGTTCTTTCTCCACATGATGTTTTTGCACCTTCTTGTTTTTGAGGAGCACAGATTTGAGGAGTCAGTGACCTCCTCTCTTCTTTTAGTTTGCAGAGTTGGTGTGATTTGCAGTTCATGTGCTTTGCTTTTCTCCATGGTAGGATAGAAGATAGGGGTATGATTTGGAGCCTCAAATACGTGGTCTTCTATTTACTAGTCCTGTTGCCTGAGCAGGTCACGTGGCTTTTTCAGACCTATTTTCTCATGTGTAAATGAACCTATTGTGAGGACTGAACAAGCTAGTATTGGAAGGCCTTTGTGTGGTGGTTAAGCAGAATGTCAGTGCAGGGAGACTCAGGAAATAGGGGTGTGGCTATTGAACAGCCTCTGTTTGTATTGACAGGTCACCTTTGGCTCTTCCGAGATGCCGGGACAAATGATGGGCTTCTGGTTAACCAAACGGAACTGTTTGTGCCCTCTCTCAATGTGGATGGACAGCCTATTTTTGCCAACATCACACTACCAGGTACTGATGTTCCATCTTACTTTTCAAAAAGACCAGGCTGTTGCAATAAGTAGAAGAAGGGCCACTTGAGGAGCCAAGCTCTTACTGATTTTTGCTTGGTGCTGGGCAAGGTATTTGACCTTTCTGTGTCCTATTCTCCACCACAGATGAAATGGAAGTAACATATTTGTAGGCTGTGTATTGAGCAGAGGTAATGTGGTGTCTCAAAAGCTCTTTGGCCTGTCAGAGGTGGGCTAAATTCAGATATCTGATGGTGGAATTATGAATGCACTTTGTTTCCCTGGCCTTAGAGCAGAATGTGCCCTGGAGTCTCAGGAGGAGAATAAGGTGTAGAGAATGAGATATCATGGCTCCTTTATTTTTCTTTTTTAAGATTTTTATTTCTCTATTTTTAGACAGAGGGTAAGGGAGGAAGAATGGGAGGGAAACATCAGTGCATGGTTGCCTCTCCCTGCCCGCTATGGGGGACCAGGCCCACACCCAGACATGTGCCCTGGTTGGGAATAGAACCTGCAGCCCTTTGGTTAACAGGCTGGTGCTCAGTCTGCTGAGCTACACCAGCCAGGGCAATGTACCATGGCTACTTTATATGGTTTCTAATATTGTATCTTTTAATGTTTTAACCCAGTCAAACTCACAGTGCCAACGGGGGTTTTAAAAAATCTCTGAATTCAGCATTAGCATCACCGTGTACCCTTTGTCTAAAACTCAAGTGATTTTGGGAGCCAATCTCAATGCATTGAGATTTTTTTGCTTCCTGTCAGCTGTTGTCGGTTTGGTTGAAGTAAATTCATAAAAACTGTTAAAAACAAAACCTCAAGCAGTTACTAGGTTGAACTCTAAGAAACTGATGTTCTTATGGGTTAAACAAATAGCACTAAATACCTGCAGCTTCATAAGGTTCAAACGAACAGGTGTATAAAGGTTCTGTTTTAAGGAAGCAGGTATGGCAAAATGACAATTGGTAAGTAAATTTTGCCTCAGGGGATACCCTGAAAGCAGGGGTGTCAAACTCATTCCCATGGGAGACCACATCAGCCTCGTGGTGGCCTTCAAGAGGCTGAATGTAGTTTCAGCTTCTTAACAGTTAAGGAGTAGTTACATCTACACAGTCCTAAAATTATTTTGGCCCTTTGAAGGCAGTGGCGAGGCTGATGTGGCCCCCAGTGGAAACGAGTTTGACATCCCTGCCTTGAAGAGTAAGTTCTGAGAGTAAAGTCGGGTTCATTTCCCCCAAAATGGAATTACGCACTGTTTTGGTTCTGTACTGCTTTTGTGACAGCTGCCCCCAAACTAGCAACAACCCCTTGATTTGTTCACAGCCCTGCAGTGGGGCTTCCTCAGCTGGGTTCTGCTCGTCGGTGGTCGTCGGTGTGGCCGTTCTCTCCTGGCAGGTCAGCTGAGGGCTGGGCTTCCCACACACTGGTCTCAGGGTCTGCCCCTCTGTGCAAGGCCTCTCCTGCAGGGCAGCTCAGTGCTTCTGAGAGGGTAGGAGCCGACGATGTGAGGCTCTCTTAAGGCTCAGAGCCAAAATTGCCACACTGTCCCCTCACCCACATTCAGTTCTTAAGGCACATCGCAGGCCCAGCCCACTTTCAAGGGGAAGCTACTACACAAGGTGACAAATACCAGATGTCCATTGGGGCCATCACGTTACATCCGCCACAACACACGTCCTCACTGTTTTTGCCCAAAGCGAGGTCCATCTGTAGTAAATGTAATTGCCGTGGCCAGCAGAGGGGCTTGCTCATCCCCTGTCTCAAGGCCTGCCTGAGTGTGCTGCTGAAGATTGGTCTTTTGCCCTTACAGTGTATACCCTGAAAGAGCGATGCCTTCAGGTGGTGCGAAGCCTAGTGAAGCCTGAGGACTACAGGAGGCTGGACATTGCGAGGTCACTCTATGAAGACCTGGAAGACCACCCGAATGTGCAAAAAGACCTGGAGCGGCTGACAAGGGAGCATATTGAAAATCAGCAGATGGCGGAGGAGGCTGAAGATTTTCATGTGCCCTTCTGAGTCTTCGCTTTTGGTGGAACTGACTAGTCTTGATCTAGATACAGGACTGGTCGCTTCTTCTCAGTGTCAAGGTGTCTCATTCTAGCAGTAAAATAATGCCCCTCTCTTAAAAGAAAGTTAACTGCCTTCCCTAGGTATGGTGATGATTAGGGGCAAGTATCAGAAAACGTAATGCCCGCCCTCTTTAGAAGTGCGTATAAAGGGAAAGTACCTGTATTTCTGCCTCTTAGTGAGTCAGGCGAGTTTCTGTGTAAGAACCGTTGTGTAAATAATTCAGTGAGAATTGCAGCATATTCTTTGATTGTAAGAGAGCAGTGGCATCTGCTTTAATTGCTGTACTGTGGTTGGTGACGTGTCTGCCTCCCTCCTGAGAAGAATGAGATGTCCCTGAGGCCGGGACAAACCTGTCTCCTCTTTGAGACCCCAGTGCCTCTCACACTGTGCACCTTCACCAGTGTTTGTTGAGTGAACACACAAGTGGATGCTTTGGTAGCACATGTTGGAGGGTTTGCCCATTTCTCAGGGGGGTGGGAAACAGGGGACCTTAGAGTGTATACAGCAAATAGACGTTCTAAAGGGAATCATTCTGTGCCTGCTTCGGCAGCACGTGTGCTAAAATACGAGCGAGCTCCCAGGGGAGACTAGCACGGCCCCCGCACAAGGAGTCGGGCAGCCTGGTGAAGCGCTCTGTGCTTTGTGCCGTGGCCCGCGGGCGTCCTCACAGCCGTTGCTCGGCTGGAAGAAACACGAGTCCAAGCACAGCATGTGGCCTCAGTAGCAAAACCGTGACTTTTCACTATAAACATGTTCGTGTGAGGCGCTCTGTGAAATGAGAACAAAGTTGAGCCGTACCTGGGGTATTTGTGCCAATATCTTAACTTGCATTTCCCTCATGAACATTAAACATTCTGAAATGGAGTTATTTAAAAAAGGGGGGATCATTTTTATAGAAAGTACTTTCTATAATTTTCTAATATTCGTACTTCTCTCTGGTCCCTGTTGTTACAGTGCTGTTTTACTTTTGTTTGTAAACCAGGGTTAGGTTCTTACTGTTACTGTGATGATAGCTTTTCTGAAATTTGACATCTGCACAGAAGATAGGAGGAAATAGCTGTCCTCCTGTTTAACTCTGGTATTAAGGAGAGACTAGTGTACCATTAGCAGGTTGTTGCCAAGTGTGGCTATTTGTGTTCCTTTTTGTAAACCCATGGCATCCTGTTTGGTTCAGCATTTTTCACCAGGCAGGATTTGGTGACCTGGCTGGAGGTCACTTTGCACCTGGCGGGAGGAGAGGCTGAATCCCACTGTAAGCTCTGGGAAGTTCCTGCTCACACGCAGTGGATTCAGGGAGGGGCCTGGGCTGTTTCACAGTTTCATAGATGTGCAGACGCTTTCTTACATGCCAGGCTTAAATCCATTCAGTACTCTGTCAGGCTTCCTTTTTGGTAACAGTGACAGAAAAATTCAGTAGAGAAAATGTTGGAAAGGATAGAAAAGTAAGAGGAAGAAAAAGATCACTGTAGATACACTACCTAAACACAATCATTAACATTCAATTCAAACTTAACATTTTGAATTTTCAACCTTTTTTAGGGTTATTCTGGTTGGTGTTTTTTGACAGAGTTGATATACTGTGCATATAGTTTTGTATTCTGTGTAACTTTGTAACTTAAATATCTTCTCATGACACGTTTTTCAGTCTCCATAAACATCAGCACAATCTTTCTTTTGTGAATAATGTTGGGACATTTCTTGGCATCTTGGGCCTCTCATGCTAACCCTCGGTCTCATGAACCAGTGCCCCACACTTGTCTCGTCACTGCTTTAAGTTTCACCCGGTCTGGTTCCGTCTCCACAGTCAGCAGACTGGTTGGCTCTTTCTTGTTTTAAAGCACGTTGTAGCCCTCATTCGGTGGTCTACCTCTAAGTGTGTCAATGTTTGTGTGAAATAGTTGGGCAGGGAAGAAGAAATGCTGGTGCAGGAGGCAGCTGTCCGAGCTCCGGAGTGGGGTGGGCTGGGGATTATGAAATCTGCTGGTGCTGGATTAGTTCAGTGTTGGTTTTACTTTGTTTTTAACCTGTGTTGTGTCAAAATGAGATTTCATGTTCTTCTTGTTAAAACATGCAGTTTGAGCACTGTTTTTGTGTTGTCCAAGGAAGATTGAAAACCTGTAGCATGAGTGATATGTTTTTCACTTGAAGTCTCAAGAATGTATTAAATATATTAAGAAACTGTGCTGTTTCCTACTTTGGTTTTCAAATATACTTTTAGATTTTTAAAAAAGATTTTATTTATTCACTGATAGGGAGAGGCGGAGGGAGGGAGAAAAGGAGGGAAAACATCAGTGTGTGGTTGCCTTTTGTACGCCCACTACTGGGGATGGGGTCACAGCCCAGGAATGTGCCAGCGCTAGGAATGGTATCTGATGGTCCTTTGGTTTGCAGACTAGCACTCAATCCACTGGGCCACACCTGCCAGGGGTAGGTTTTTTATTTATTTATACAGAGAAGGGAAGGGAGAGAGAATGAGAAGGAGAGAAACATCATTGTGTGAAAGTCCATCAGTTGCTTCTCACTCATACCACTCTGGCCCACAACAGAGGCATGTGCCCTGACTGGGAACTGAACCTGGGACACTGATTCTCAGCTTGGCACTCTACCCACTGAGCTGCATCAGCCAGGGTGAGTCTCCTGTGTTGATTTAAAAACAGTTGTTCTGTAATACATTAAATGGTGCCGAGTAAAGGAAATAGGGAGGACATGTTGTACAATTTTAACCAGATTCTTCTCCTTAGGAGAGCTGTGAAAGTCATGTTTATTTAACATCATAAGGTAGTGGGAGGGTAGCCGAGAAAAGCAGCTAACTTCATTCTCAGTCCCTTCTCTTTCCAATGCTGGATTTTTTTAATCATTGTTCTCTTTCACTTTATTTTTCTCATAAATATGAAATGTCACTAAAAAAAATTAAGCACTACAGAAAAGTATTAGGAAAAATATTTACACTGGAACAAAGTTTTCTTCCACATGAAAACACAACGAACCCTAACACGTGCGATATTGGAGAAGGTACACAGATGTTAAGTAAGCAAGTGAAAAGATGCTTCACATATGCCACCAGGGGAATGAAAATTAAGTAACGAGGTACCACAAGGCACCTGTAGGAAGGCCGAAATCTAACGCAAGGCCCGATGCGGACAAGGAGGCAGGGACACAGGAGCCCTCCTGCACCGCGGGCGGGAGTGCAGAGTGGTATGGGCATTTTGGAGGCAGTTGGACAGTTTCTTATCCAACGAAACATGCCCTTACCATGTAATCCACCAATTGTGCTTCTTGGTATTTATTCAGACGAGGTCCGAACTTAATGTGTAAAACCCTGCATGTGGGTATTTATAACAGCTTTCGTCATAATTGACAAGTTGGCAGCCACTAAGATGTCCTTCAGTAGGTGACTGGGTAAATAAGCTGTGGTTCACCAGACAGTGGATTCTGTGGCACTGACGAGAAGTGAGCTGTCGACCGTGAAAAGACAGCCAATCTGATATGGTCACATAATATGATTCCAACTATATAACATTATGGAAAGGGCAAAATTATGGAGTAAAAATGTCAGTGGTCACCAGGGCTTGGTGGAAGGGAGGAACACATAGGTAGATTACAGGATTTGTCAGGGCAATGAAACTGTTACCGTAGTATCACATCTACACTATACTATACTAATACTACAATACACTATACTATACTATACACTGTACTAATACTATACTGTACTATACTATACTATACTATACTATACTATACTATACTATACTATACTATACTATACACTACTTGGTCTATGACATTTTCATTCGTCCAAGCCCACAGGATGTACAACACCAAGAGTGAGTTTGAAGGTAAACCATGGACTTTGGGTGGTGATGATGTGTCTGCGCAGGCTCATCAGTTAGGAGGAGTGTATCAGTCAGATGGCAGATGTTGAGAAGGGGGAGGCTCTGTGTGTGTGGGCCAGAGGCATATGGTAAATCCCTGTACCTTCCTCTCAATTATGCTGTAAATACAAACTGCTCTAAAAAATAAAGTCTATTAAACAAAACCCAAAGGACAAATGGTTAATGCTTCCCCATGCTTTTACTGATGTGATAAAAGGATGGGGCAGTGGCCTAGGCATCCACACACTGCGGATACGAAATATGTGTCCGTGTTTTGCACTGTTTACACAGGAACACCAGTTGAACTTTCCAGGTCCTTTCACACTAGGTCGCCGTGTGTTAGCATTCTTTGCACCCCAGTCCCACTCTTGCCCGTCATGGGGCTGCCTGACAGCCTTTCGCTGTTTTTCCTTTCCTTTTTCTTTTCTTGTTTTATTTGTTTATTGATTTTTAGGGAGAGAAAAGTGGAAAACATCCCTTTGTCTGAGACAGAGCTTTGGATATGGATTCCCTGTTTCTCTTTTTTGCAACAAGTGAAAACTACCTTGCAATAACTATGCCTTGTATTTGAATAGAATACCCCAGGCAGCGAAGCCCTTGAGTTATTTTTAAGTGTATTTTATTGATTATGCTATCACAGTTGTCCCATTTTTCCCCCTTTATCCCCCACACCCTGCACTCCCACTTTGTCCAGAATTTCCCCACTGTAGTTCATGTCCATGGGTCAGGAATCTAAGTTCTTTGGCTTCTCCATTTCCCATACTGTTCTTCATCTTCCTCTGTCTATTTTTTTTACCTACCAATTATATTTTTTATTCCCCGTACCTTTTCCCCCATTCTTCTCCCATCCCTTCCCTGCTGATAACTCTCCATGTGATCTTCATTTTTGTGATTCTGTTTCTGTTCTAGTTGTTTACTTTGTTTTTGTTATTCTTTTTTAAGTTCAGTTGCTGATAGTTGTGAGTTTGTTGTCATTATACTGTTCATAGTTTTGATCTTCTTTTTCTTAGATAAGTCCCTTGAACATTTCATATAATAAGGGCTGAATGATGATGAACTCCTTGAACTTGACCTTATCTAAGAAGCACTTTATCCGCCCTTCCATTCTAAATGATAGTTTTGCTGGATAGAGTAATCTTGGATGTAGGTCCTTGCCTTTCATGACTTTGAATACTTCTTCCCAGCTCCTTCTTGCCTGCAAGGTTTCTTTTGAGAAATTAGCTGACAGCCTTATGGGCACTCCTTTGTAGTAACTGTCTCCTTTTCTCTTGCTGCTTCTAAGATTCCATGCTTATCTTTTATCTTGGCTAATGTAATTATGATGTGTCTTGGTGTGTGCTTCCTTGGGTCCAGCTTGTTTGGGACTCTCTGAGCTTCCTGGACTTTCATGTCTAGTTCCTTTACCAGATTGGAGGAGTTTTTCTTCATCATTTTTTTTCAAATAAGTTTTCAATTTCTTGCTCTTCCTCTTCGCCTTCTGGCAGCCCTATGATTTGGATGTTGAAACATTTAAAGTTGTCCTAGAGGTTCTAATCCTCTCCTGATTGTTTTGAATTCTTGTTTCTTCATTCTGTTCTGGTTGAATGTTTATTTCTCCCTTCTGTTCCAAATCATTGATCTGAGTCCCAGTTTCCTTCCCTTCACTCTTGGCTCTCTGTATATTTTCCTTTATTTCACTTTGTATAGCCTTCACTTCTTCCTCTGTTTTGCAGCCATACTCAACCTTTTCTGTGAACATGCAGATTACCCGTGTTTTGAACTCTGCATTTGATATTTTGGCTATCTACTTGTCACTTAGTTATTTTCTGTAGTTTTGATCTGTGTGTTCATTTGGGCCATATTTCTTTGTCTTGGAGCAGATTGTAAGGGGTGGAGCCTTAGGTATTTTCTAGGGCAATCCACTTGGATGCATTGTATGTGGGAGAGGGGTCAGAGAGGGAACAATTCCACTTGCTCAGCTCCTACTCTGCTTTCAGTCTGTTACCCATAAGTGAATTGTGCCATTCCTTTCAAGTGCTTTCCTGGTGCTGATTCCTGGGTGGGTGGGCTTGTGTAGTTATAGTACCTCATGGGCCCCTCCAATGGACTCTCTTCTGAGACTTGCAGTTCCTCCCACTGCAGCAACCCCCAAAAGTTTTTATAGCAAGAAGGGTTGAGGTTTTAGTTCCCTACACTAGAACCCTGGGTTGCACGATCTGTCTCTCTTCCCAGTTGTTCCTTCTGGTTTATCCGCACTGGTATGTGGGGCCACCCTGTCTGCCAGCCACTGCCTCTCCCACTTGATTTGCCAGCCGCCTCCTAGTCATGCATCCACTCTGGCTTCCCATCTTAGCCTCCTACCTGTCTGGATGAATGATTCTTCTTTAACTCATTGGTTGTTGGACTTCCATATAGTTCAATTTTGGAGCACTTCTGGTTGTTATCCTTCTTTTGGTTGTGCAGGAAGTGAAGCGTAACTACCTATGCCTCCATCTTGGCTGGAAGCCCAGATAATCCAATCTGATTGCCTCTTTTCTAATTTACCACTTTGTTTAAATTCCACATTGATGGATACACAAGCCTGGCAGTCTGGGATTCCCAGTGGTGTGAGCTGAACAAGCACCAATGGTGGCGAGGCCAACATTGTCTTTCTGGCCCCTCAATGACATCCAAGGCCATGGAGCCAAGAACTTTGTGGGCTGCGCTGTGGTGGAGAATCACATGAGGAATAACCAAGTGCTGGGAACTGAAAGTGATTCTACAATTTTCCGTGCTGTGGAGCGAATTGCTGAAAGACTGAAACAAGGGAAGCTGAACCTCGTCCGTATTCACACTTCCTTCCAGGCCTGTCAGCTCATGCTGCACTGTGGCGTAACCCTCAGTGACCTGAGCAGACACCCCGAGTTTGACCTTGTCATGGATGGTGCTGACAAAGTGCTGTAGGTGCTGGTCTCAGTGTCATCAGGGGTGGTGGAGGCTGCCTGACCCAGAAGATTGTGGTGGGCTGTTCCACTCACCTCATCATGATTGCTGATTTCAGGAAAGGGTCAAAGAACCCTGGGGAGCAGTGGCACAAGGGAATCCCCACTGAGGTCATCCCCATGGCTTACAACCCAGTGAGCAGAGCTGTGATTCAGAAGTTTGGGGATGTGGTTGATTCTTGTATGTGCCCTGACCGGGCATGGAACCTGCAACTTTGGTGTATCAGGATGAATAAGGGGAGTTTTATCCTGCCTGGGAGTTCGACCCTGTGCACAAATGGAGTGAAGTGAACCCAGCTATCAAAATGACCGCAGGCGTGGTGGACACAGGCCTATTCATCAATATGGCCGAGAAAGACTCTTTTGGGATGCAGGATGGCTCAGTGAACATGGGGGAGAACCTTTCTGTGGACCCTGCCAGGAGTGGAGTGGGCTGCCCTGGAGCCCGCAGCCCACCTCCAGGTGGACGTGCCTCTCCAGGAGCCTTTGCCTTAGTGTCTCTGTGCCAGGTGGACAGCGGCAGGGTGGGGGCTGGGCGGTTAAATCCAGTCTTCTCAAGTCTTGTTATTAAGTGTCTTTTTAAAAAGAGCAATACAAACATACATACTTTTTACTATTAAAGATATTCAATTTTTTTTTTTTTGCCCTGGCTGGTGTAGCTCAGTGGATTGAGCGTGGGCCTTCGAACCAAAGGATTGTGGTTTGATTCCCAGTCAGGGCACATGCCTGGGTTGTAGGCCAGTCCCCAGCAGGGGACACACAAGAGGGAACCACACATTGATATTTCTCTTCCTCTCTCCTTCCCTTCCCCTCTAAAGATAAATAAATAAAATCTTTTAAAAAAAGATATTCAATTTTTTTATTTTTTTGTGTCTTACTACATTTAATAGTTTTTAAATGTTCACCTGAGGATATAATGTATTTTTTGGACCATAAAATGCACCTAGATTTTAGAGGAAGAATATAGGAAAAAAATTCTGAAGCAAAAAAAGTTGTAAAATATTTAATAATATAAATAACAATATTTCACCAATGTAAATGTAAACAGAACTCAACAGCAGCACTAACAACCATTATTCCTCTCAAATTTAATGGAGCAAAGTGCGTCTTATAGTCTGAAAAATATGGTGGGGTTTTTTTTTTTCTAAGATTTTATTTATTTTATTTTGGGACAAGGGAAGGGAGGGAGAAATAGAGGTAGAGAAACATAAATGTGTGATTGCCTCTTGCATGCCCTCTACTGGTGACCTGGCCTGCAACAAAGGCATGTGCCCTCCTGACTGGGAATCAAACCAGCAACCCTATGGTTTCCAGGCTGGCACTCAAGTCACTGACGCACAGCAGCCAGGGCTGATTTTTAGTTTTTGTTGGGATCACGCATAGTACCTTGTTACATATTTTAAGATGAGGTTTAAAACAATCTGGTGAGTGTAGCCGTGTGGTGTGTAAGGATTTGGTATAAACTGTCAGAGAGAAAATGTGGTGGGTTTTATTTTGTTAGGATCTCGGCATTCATTCAGACCCCTGTTGTCGTAAGCAATTGACAAGAAATACTTGCTAGTACTGCTGGGAAATGTGAGGTACATTTAAATGATTGTGTTTTGTTGTTGAGGTTTTTTATCCGTTCCTGTATTATTCCTTGCATGGTTCAGCATCATAAGTTCTTTTTTTTAAGTACACTTTATTTATTATACTATTACAATTGTCCCAATTTTTCCCCCCTTGTACCTCTCTACCCAGTACCCCCCTTCCCTATAGCAATCTCCCTTTTAGTTCATGTCCATGGCTAATACATATAAGTTCTCTGGCTTCTCCATTTCCTATACTATTATTAACACCCCTGTCTATTTTGTACCTACAAATTATGCTGCAAATTATCCCTGCAACTTTTTCCACATTCTTCCTCTTCCCCTCCCAGCTGATAATCCTCCAAATGATCTCCATATCTATGATTCTGTTCCTGTTCTGGTTGTTTGCTTAATTAGTTTGTTTGTTTATTTTTTAGACTCAGTTGTTGATAGTTGTGAGTTTGTTGTCATCTTAATGTTCATAGTTTTCAAAAGAAGAAAAGATATTTTTCTTTTTCTTAAATAAGTCCCTTTAACATTTCAAGTAATAATGGCTTGGTGGTGATGAACTCCTTTAGCTTTACCTTGTCTGGGAACCACCTTAGCTGCCCTTCCATTCTAAATGATAGCTTTGCTGGATAGAGTAATCTAGGTTGTGGATCCTTGCATCTCACCACTTTGAATACTTTGCCAGTCCCTGCCTGCCTGCAAAGTTTCTTTTGAGAAATCAGCTTATAGTCTACCCATGGGAACCCCCCTGTGGGTAACTATCTGCTTTTCTCTTGTGCTTTTCAGATCCTCTCTTTATCTTTAACTTTTGGCGTTTTAATTATGATGTGTCTTGGTGTGGCTTTGGGTCCAACTTGTTTGGGACTCTGTTGCTTCATGGGCTTTTATATCTTTTTCCTTCACCAAATGAGGGAAGTTTTCTTTTGTTATTTTTTCAAATAAATTTTCAATATCTTGCTCTTCCTCTTCTCCTGGCATCCCTGTGAGTGGGGTGTTGGTATGTTTGGAGATGTCCCAGAGCCTTCTAATACTATCCTCATTTTTAAAAATTCTTGTCTTTTCTTTCTGTTCTGGTCGAATGTTTAATTCTTCCTTATGTTTCAAATCATTGGTTTGAATCCCTGCTTCCTTCCCTTCTTTGTTGGTTCTTTGTGGATTTTCTTTATTTCACTTAGTGTAACTTTCATTTCTTCCTCTATGTTGTTGCCATACTTGGTGAATTCTCTGAGCATCCTGATCACAGTGTTTTGAACTCTGCATCTGATAGATTGGTTATCTCTGTTTGATTTAGTTCTTTTTCTGAGGTTTTGTTCTGTTCTTTCATTTGAGCCACATTTGTCTGTCTCCTCAATTTAATTGGATTAAAAAAACAACTTCAGCATTCTTGTCCTGGGCAGTGGCCTTAAGCTGCGTCCTAGGTGGTGTTCATCTCACCCTGGAGGACAATGGCTCAGATATCATCTTGAGTTGCTTGTAGACCTTCTGAGGAACAAAAGTGGAACTGCTTATGGTCTCCTGGAGTCAGGGTGGGTCATACCTTCAGTTCCTGGAACAAAAGCTTTTACATGCATTGATTAGTAAGCTTATTAGCTATTACTTAAACTAAAAATATTTCAACTCTTAAGTCCCCTATCACTTTGACACCCTTACTTAGAGCACCTGTTAAGTTGTATGAGGTGGAGCCTTAGATATTTACCGGGGAGGAGCAACCTGCCTCACCACTCTGTGGCTCTGTGTGGGGGGAGGGTTTGGAGAGGGGACTATGCCACTGCCTGGCTTCTGGAGGCGTGGCCAGTACTCACCCAGTTTCCAATCACTTCACCCACTTCCTGTATGGGACTGACGCCCTTCTAGCTGTTGCCCTGGGGGCGGTGAATGCCAGAGTGAGTGGGTTTGTGTAAGTTCTAAATATATGGGAGACCTTTAAATGGGCTTAAACTGAGAGACTGGCAGTTTCTTCGACTGCCCCAACCCTCACAGGTTTTTACAGTTAGAAGTTTTGGGGCTTTATCTTCCCTGTGCTGGAACCCTGGGCTGTGCAGTCTGGCCTGGGGCTGGGATCACTTTCTCCCCAACATCCCTCCCTGTCTGTTCTGTTGCTGCCACCTGTCCGTGCCACGCCGCATCTCGCCTCTCGCCTCTCTGCCCTGACATGCTGTCTCACCCTCCTACCCATCTGGATGAATGTGGCTTCTTTACGTCCTTGGTTGTCAGACTTCCGTACAGGCCGGATTTCTGGCAGTTCTGGGTTTTGGATTTTTTTTTAAGTTAGTTGTAATCCTTCTTGTGGTTGTGCAAGGAAGCAAAACATGTCTTCCTATGGTTCCATCCTGACTAGAAGTCAGCATCAGAAGTTCTCATATCTTATATTGTTTGAGGGATGAAATAAAATAGCATGGTGCCATTCTTTTTTTTTTTTTTTTTTTTTCTCTCTCTCTCTGTCTCTCTCTGGGGTAGAGACCTCAGGAATTGAGGAATTCCTTTCTATTCTTTTGGGGAATTGAACCTGCAACCTTTCAGTTACAGAATGATGCCCAACCAAGGATATACAGCTAATATCACCTATAATTTATTGTTACCATGTGCTACATGTGCTCAGTACTTTATGTACTTTATTTAACCTTCAAGCCCTAAGAAGTAGACATTATTATTTCCATGTAATAGGTTTAGAACAAGTTTAGAGAGGCAGAAATTTGTCTAAAGTCATATAAGTGAAAGTGCTGGGATTTGAACCTATACCTACCTGATTCAGACTACTCTAACCATTCTACCATTAAAAAAAAAAGATTTTATTCATTTATTTTTAGAGAGATGCGAACACAGGGAGAAGGAGAGAGAGAGAAACATCAATGTGTGGTTGCCTCTTGTGTGCGCCCCTCACTGGGGGCCTGGCCCACAACTCAGGCATGTGCCCTGACTGGGAATCGAACTGGCAAACTTCTGGTTCACAGTCTGGCACTCAATCCACTGAGCCACATCCGCCAGGGCAAACCATTCTACTCCTGCATGTGGTGTCCCCAGATCTAAAACTTACTTTCTCACACCTAGTCCAGAACCAGTCCTCTATACTCACATTAGATACTTTTAAGGTTATTACACACCTATATGCTTTATACGGCTTCCTCACCTTCCTTTAGTAAAGAAGGCTTCGTAGGTTTTCCTTGCCGAGTCTGGCAAACACTGTTTGCATTGATGTCTACGTTGTCTAGTTTCACTTTGCCCAACTTTCTTTCTCTGAAGGTTGAATAGTAAATGTACTATTTTCTGGAAGTCTTGGCTAAGGAATTTAACACTTCCAGCACTTCCTCTAGTTATATCTGGGCTTGAGCTGCTTCTGGAGCCAAAAGAAGCAACTAAATCCCCCTTTACTCTCAAGTCACGTCTTTGCTCACCAGTCACTGCAGTCCATACACAGTGTTATGCTAAACCATGTATTTTATTCCTAATGTGTCACTTCTTCAATTTGCACAGCTTGAGTTCAGATTACAGGCAGACCTCATGTTATTGCATGTCACAGATGTGACGTTTTTGGTTTTTTTTTCCAAATTGTAGGCAAGACGTTACACCAGCAAAGAGGCAATGACTCACTTTACTGCGATACTTGCTTTGTTGCGGTGGTCTGGAACCAAAATAGCAGTATTTCCAAGGTGTCGCCTCACTGAGGACAATAGTTAATGTTTTATATGTTAACCTATGTTTACTGCATCACTGTTGTTGTCTTTTAATAAGATGCTGACAGGATAGTTGTTTTGAACTATAAGGAGAATGGGTTTCAGAAAGGTTAAATATACCCAGATTTTCTGAGTCCACATTGAACTCATTCATCTTACCATAATGAAAAATTTGACAGAGTTTGTTTTCTCCTTCACACGTTAGACGTTGTAGGGAAGTTAATGACATGTGCTTCTCCTTTCCTCATGAAGTCTTAATGATTTCTGAAGAAGGATAGTTATGAAGGATTTTTGCTGTTTTCTAACTTGGGAAATGAGCTGAATATGAAAAATCTCTCCAGAAGAGTCTTCAAGATTTTATTTATTTATTTACTTTTAGAAAGAGGGGAAGGGAAGGAGAGATGGAGAGAAACATCTATCGGTTGCCTTTCTCATGCCCCCAGCCGGGCACCTGCTTGCCACCCGGTCATGTATCCCTGCCTGGGAATCAAACCAGCAAACTTTCAGTTTGGGCTGGCAC